TGATCCTCCTGTCTCAGCCTCCCAAGCTGTTGGGATTACAGGCATGCACCACTGCACCCAGCCATGAACTTTTTTGTTTTCTCATTTCATGTAACTTCCAGCACCCATCCATCCACATCTTTCTGGTCTTCATGTCTCATCTGTTCTTTTATACTGCTCTCTGCAGTGTTTTCCAGCACTACCTCACACATGCTGATAAAGTGTACACATACATTACATTAACCTGAATACTTGCCACTCACTTTTGTGTGGATTTTCCTGGGCTTGGAGTCAACCTACCATCTATATGGCATGTACCTGTTACTAGCAAACAGCATCCTGCTGAAGGCTGTGTGGTGAGTTCTAGAGATATGACCACAGTGTTAAAGCAGCTTAAGGCTGTTTGCAGAGGAGTGAGTTGAAGATTACTTCTCCTTATGACCCATCCATCTTTGTAATCTTCAATTGGTAAGGCCTCCCCAATTCTGTGACTTTGAGAGACATCAGATTGTCATATAGCCCCTTCCTCAACCTGTCCCTATATCTCTTAATCATAGACAAAATTTTGGAATCATTGGTAGAGTGTGCATGATGGTGCCTCCTCCTTCACACATAGTCATCATACATTTCATTAGCAATTCTCTGCTTTCAGGTTGTGGGCATGGAACAGAGGATGAAGAGATACTTTCTGAGCAGAAGGTTTCAGTAGCAGTTTCACAGGTCAGGACTTCTAAGGCAGGTTCATCCATGCAGAAGACTTACCTCTGTGAAAAATGTTTCCCAATTCTGCAGGACATTTTGCACCTGGATGATCTACCTGGGCAGAAATTCAGAACTAGGACATATGCAGATCTTCACCAGCACCAAAAGCATCACAGTACAAAGAAGCTCTTGATGAGGGATGTTGAAAAATCCTCGTATTTGAAACACTTCCTATTCCACATGTCAAGGAAGCCCTTTGCCAGTTGGGAGATTGAGAAGGACCTCCCAGCCATGTGGAGCCTTGTCAAGTCCCCAGCATTTCCCAGTAGTGAAAAGCCCAATAATACCTCCAAGGGTGGGGAGGACAGTCATAGTCATAAAAGTCATAAGTCAAGAGAATGTGGGAATTCTGCCAGCCACAAGCACACTCTTGTTCACCGCCCCAAAGTTACCACTGGTAAAAAGCTTTATGAATGCAGCAAATGTGGGAAAACCTTCCGTGGCAAGTACTCACTTGATCAGCACCAGAGGGTACACACTGGAGAAAGGCCTTGGGAGTGCAGTGAATGTGGGAAATTCTTTAGCCAAACCTCCCACCTGAATGATCACCGGAGAATTCACACTGGAGAAAGGCCTTATGAGTGCAGTGAATGTGGAAAATTATTTAGACAAAACTCCAGCCTTGTTGACCACCAGAAAATTCATACTGGAGCAAGGCCTTATGAGTGCAGTCAGTGTGGGAAATCCTTTAGCCAAAAAGCCACCCTGGTTAAACACCAGAGAGTTCACACTGGAGAAAGACCTTATAAGTGTGGTGAGTGTGGGAATTGCTTTAGTCAAAGTGCCATTCTTAATCAGCACCGCAGAATTCACACTGGAGCAAAGCCTTATGAGTGTGGTCAGTGTGGGAAATCCTTTAGCCAAAAAGCTACACTCATTAAACACCAGAGAGTTCACACTGGAGAAAGGCCTTATAAATGTGGCGAATGTGGGAAATCCTTTAGTCAAAGCTCCATCCTTATTCAACACAGGAGAATTCACACTGGAGCAAGACCCTATGAGTGTAACCAGTGTGGAAAATCCTTTAGCCAAAAGTCTGGCCTCATTCAACATCAGGTAGTTCACACTGGAGAAAGGCCTTATGAGTGTGACACGTGTGGGAATTCCTTTAGTCAGTGTTCTAGCCTCATTCACCACCAAAAATGTCACAATGCATAGGGGCATCATGAAAGCAACAAATACAGGGAAGTTTTCAGCCCAAGGTTTAGCAGCTCCTGAAAGCCCGCACTTGAGAAAGGCCTTAGACCTGTAGGCAGTGTCATCTTTTTCAGAGAGGCTTTGTGAAGGAACCACCTGCCTAAAGTTACCATACTTCCTACTGCCCACTGAGGGCAGTGTCCCCGTGTGTTCGTGATGAGTGAGCCTTCCAGGAGCTCCATGCACTTCTCAACTGATGGGGCCATGTCAAGAGCTAAGTCACTGCCACTTTGTCTGGTAGAAGGCATCTTCCTCTGCCACTTTGCACAGTGTCCAGCGGTCACTGGAGCACGTGAGGGAAGGCGAATGCTTACTCCCTGGAGGAAGTCTTGAGCAACCTGGGTCTTCAAGGAGAGTTCTTTCCCTTTTCTGACTGATTAAAGCACACACATAACCTAGTTTTTACCATGAAAACCTAGTCTGCTGGAGGCTTTCAGGAATGGCTGATTTTTTTCATCAAAAAGTTGTTTTTTCAGTCTCACATGACAGTTGGGTTAATTTTTTCAGCCTTCTATTTACCAAATGGTAACTACCTGCCTTGCATTAGTCTTGATTGTGTGCTAATAAATGCCTTATTGTTAAAGCTACCTTTAATTATGGGGTTGAGTTTACGATGTCGGGAGGCTGGAAGACACTTTGTGCTATTTGAAAGGATGGACAGCTTTCGTGGGTCAACTGTTCTTCAGGGACAGTAAAATGACAGTTCTCGTTTTGCTTTCAGGCTGGTTTGTATTGCTGCCCTAGACAACATAGGAAATAATGCAGGAATTTTGCCCTGATTTGTGGCTTGGTTGGTTACAATTTTCTGTGAGACTATAGGTCCACCTGGGGAGAGGCCAGCTATTGTGACAGGTTTCTGTGATTGGGTGAATAGAATGAATTCACTCTCTTGTTCCCGGAAGATGTTGTTTTGCAATGCCCATGTGGAGGAGAAAATCTTCACAGGGCTTTACAAGAAGCCATCTGCCCTGATACCAATCATTCCATTTCATAGATTGGTGTCACTCAGATGATGGCTGGAGCCAGCTGTGAACCTTAATTGGTTTAGAAATCATAAATACTGGGTGTGGAGAAGGAACTTACAGTAAACTGCATGAAATGTGCCTCTTGCAAAGGTGCATCCACATATCTTCCAGTGACTGAGCATTCACAGGACCTAGAGGTCTGTGTATGCCCAATAGCTGTGGTCATTGTCAAGGAAAATAAAGGTTTTGTGGATTCATATTGTCTTTCTGGGTTGTTCACCTGAAGTGCATTGCTATAGAAGCAGGAAAATAAGGAGATCCTGGTGATCCTACAGTCCAGGGTTATAGCTCTGGTGATCCTGTCAGTGTTCTGTTGTCTGATATTACAACAGCATTCCTTACTGCACCAATAGAGAGCTGACCTTTCCCATGCATGAGGATGGAGATAGTGGAATCAACATGGGTTATTACCAGAAAAATAGTTTAGGCTTTAAATTTGGTTTTGGAATCACTTTTTATAAACTTATTTATATATAGTTACTTGGAATAACTGATGTTTATGGTGTATAATTTGAAAAGTTTTGTCTCATAAATTCCTGAAACCATTATAGTGATCATAAATATATCTACAATTTACCTCATGCCATATTTTCTCCCCATATTCCCCAGGTTTGCAAGTATCCAGTAATTTACTTTTATTCACATGACAATAACTTGTGAATGAAATATTTTATGAATGCAACTACACATTTTTTGCTACATGATTATTTTGAGAAAGAATCATCTCTACTGCTTATATGAACAGTTCATCCTTTTTGTTGCTGAGTCATATTCAGTTCTATGGATATGCTATTGTTTATTTTCTATCTATTTATTTATTTGTGCTGGGGATTGAACCCAGGGCCTTGTGCATGCAAGGTAAGCACTCTACCAACTAAGCTATGTCCCCATCACTTAATGAGCATTTGGATTATTTCCTGTTTGGGGATGTTAAAAACAAAGCTACTGTGAATACAGGCATAGGATTCTTAATGTGCATATGTGGTTTATTTGTCCTGTGAAAATAATTCAGAGTTTGTGTTTTGCATTAAAAAAAAACTGTCAAACTGATCTAGATGTATTGTACTCACTGAATTCCCACCAACAATATGTGAACATTTCTGTCCTTCCACCTTCTAGCCAGTACTTGAAATGATTAGTCTTTTAAATTTGAGCTGTTTTAATGTATTATGGCATCTCACTGTAGTTTTGATTGCATCTTTCTGATGTTTCATAATGTTGGGCATGTTTTGTTTGCCACTTATGTATCTTCTTTTAAAAAGGCTATCTTTTTGCCTATTTTAAAATGTGTGTTGGTGATGTAGTTTTCATTAACAAATAGACATATATAACAAGAACATGTTGGAACTTACTCATTCTTCAGTAAATGAGGGTCTTTGCTAAATAGGAAATTGTTTTTGAATGTTGGAAAAATATTTTCTCAAATTTTTTTGCCTATTCACAGTGCAGGAACTTACAGTAAACCGCAGTCACAGACACTATATATTTTAAGCATTTTGTGCATTATTAGTAACAGCAAACCCTCTTTTTAGAGTTTGTCAATTATCCTAGTAGAATACTCTCACCATGGCCAATTCAAGTTCTAAAATGATGTCACTGAACATAGAGTTGGGGAGAGATATGCAATAGCACATAATTATGTTTTATTCTCATCATACTGATATAGTAGTCACAAATATACAGATGTAAAACAGTAAAATAATTAGAAAGTAACAACTTTTGAGTATAACCTTAGATTTTTCAAGGTAGCTTGATGTGTAATTATCATACAATAAACTATGCATATTTAAAGTGTATAATTCCTGTTTTTATGTCAGTACTCAGAATTTTTTTTTCAGTTTACCTCAGGCCTTCTACACCAGCAAGCCATCCTGTTATAAGGGGAGAGCAACAGCCTTAAGGGTGCAGAGCTCTTTAATGGAGAAAAAAAGGCATGACCAACTGGGTGAATGAAGGAAAATAGTTAGGAAGAAAATGTGCTGGAGGTCTCGGTGAGTTTAGCAAAAGTGGGAAAGTCTCAAGCTGCAGATCCAGTTTGATCAGCAAAAGCAAATTCACATTGGAGAAAGGCCCTATGAAGAATCAGTTCCACGTCAGTCAACACTGGAGATTTCACACTGGAGCAAACCCACACTAATGCAGTGAGGATGAAAATCTTTCAGGAAAAAAATATCCTCACAGAACATCAAAGAGGTCACACTCCAGGAAGGCCTTATGAGTGCAGTGAACATGGGACATTATGTAGGTACACATCCAACCCCAATCAACTCTGGACATTCCCTCTGGATCAAAGCCATATACATGTATGGAGTGTGGGAAATCTTTCAAGGATAAATCTGTCCTCATTCAACACCAAAGAGTTCATGCTGGAGGGAGGCCTTATGAATGCATTGCATGGAAAATCCCTAGGCCAGAAATCTATTCTCCTTCAACGTTAAAGAGTTCACATTGGAGAAAGGCCTTATGAATGTGAGAAATCTTTTAGCCACAAAAGCTACCATATTTAACATCAGGGAGTCCTCACATTAAAAAGGCCTTACCAAGTCGTGAAGATGGGAAGTTTTTTAATTTTATTTTTGTCTGTTTATTGGTAGTACTCGGGATCAAACCCAAGACATCACACAGGCATGCTAGGCAAGTGCTCTACCACCAAACTACACTCCCTGCCCTTTTAAATTTTGAGATAGGGACTCACTAAGTTGTATAAGCTGACTTTAAACTTACCCTCCTCCTGCCCCAGCCTCCCACCCCCCACCCAGGTGCAACACTGTGCCTGGTCAGAAAGTCTTTAGTTGAAGATATGGCCTCCTCAAAATAGGAAAATTCATATATAGTGAATATGGTAAATCTTTTAGCAGCAAATCTGACCTTATATAGCACTGAAAATTTTACATAGGATAAAGGCCTTAAGTATTTAGGGATTGTGCTTTTTACCATATTCAATATTCATGTATTACATAAATACACTGAGATTATTTGAAATACAATGGAGTACAGCAAGAAAGATAGCAATAATATAAATTAACTCATTTTATTAAATGAGAAATAAGCACAGGTAAGTATAATGACCCTGGAGGAAACTTTGTGGGTAGTCTTACTCAATTGTGTGTGTATTGGGATATGGTGTTTTCCGGCATCCAAGGATTCCTCATAAGATTCAGGTACATGAGAAGCACGAGTAGCTGTGTCATATTTTTGAAACTTTCCCAGGGATCTTAATATTAATGTCACTGACAGTTTCTGTGACTGAAGTCATGTTATTCTAATCAGGCAGATCCACCAAGTGTACATTGTTTTCCATCTCTCTGTGCTCAGGGAATCAGACCTCTATACTCTTCCGTTTGTTGGAAGAAATCATGAATAGTCTTGAGTTGTTAGGAAAGTTCTTATTCTTTTCTTTCTGACCTGTTGTGGCATGTATCTAACCCTCTTTTGGCTCAAAGGATTCAATCAGAACTCTCCTGCCAACTTGCAGAGAAAACCCCACCTTTTCAACAAATATTTGGACTTAGGTGATAGTTGTGACATTTTTTAACTTTCAAGTTTCCAAACCAGGAGCTGCTTATTGAACATTGCACTTGTTTGTGCAATAATAAAGCCTTTTTTGCACGAGTTTCTTTAGTTTGGGAAGTTCTTCTCACTGTGGTATAGACTGAAGTGAAAAAAGGATTTTGGTAGCTTGTAATAGTAAACAATTTTGTGGGGACCCCAACTTTGTATGCTGCTGAGGAAGAGTATGATGCAAAATGTAGCTTTTGCTCCAGTTTTGGTCTAGTTACTTGGAATCATAAGTAGAACCCAGTACAATAGAAAAGAGGCAGAGAAGCGGACAAGTCACAGAAAAACAAACCTTGATGAGAAACACCTGAAAGATCCACTAGTTTTTTTTAATAACCTATAAATGCATGTTGGCTTAATACGATTCTGGGGCAAAACCTTAAAGTGCCATAATGCATTTTCTGGGTGGAATGTGGGGAAAGGTGCTACTCACGGTTAGAGCACAACATGTGGACACCTATTACAAATGCACAGTTACTTTAAAAGTAGTTACTTCCAAGTAATTTTAGAAAAATCTATTCGTTAGAATAAAAGCGTCCTTGTATAAAGCTGTACAAAAATGCTTATTCTATGGTTACTTGGGATTGTAAGTAGGACCCAAAACAACATGTGACTGACATAATGTAATACACTAATACACTGAGATTATGTGAAATACAATGGAGTACTGCAAGAAAGCTATCAATAATATAAATTAACCCATTTTATTAAATGAGAAATTAGCACTTAAATTCATATGAAGAGGTAGGCCATAAGTTTGATAAAAGGGATCACAGGGAATGTAGAGAACATGCCTAGAATCATGGGAGTGGGGGCAAGCATTCAAAAAAAGGCTCCCCTAAAATGAGTGTATATCTGCTCACATTAAAGAATTAAAGAAAAATAGAAGCAAGGAGTAAAATAAATGTGCAGTTAAGATCATTACCACACATGTAGAAATGTAAAATTGTGCAAACCCAAACTTGAATAGGATAAAAGATCATCTTAGAAAAAATATGATAATCAGAAGACAAATACCCCAGAGGGGGAAATGAGCCGGGTGAAGCATTTCACCAGGAAATAGATGTGTGAAGAGGACCTAATGTGTAGACACAGTAGGCATCTCCTGTGATTCTCACAGAGTGACTATTCCACAGTGACCTCCGCAGAAGGAAAGTACACCTTCAGTCACTTAATTGCCAGACAGAATTCACAGGAGCCTGAAAAGAGCAGGAACAGGCATGGGACTGAAAATTACAAGGAGACTTGAGCACGGGTCAGTTCTGAGCTTTCCCTGATGGGAGTCAGGACTAGGGAAACTCTTCCCTGTAGTTTTTGGAATCCTGATGATGACTGGTTAAGAAGAGAGAATGGATGGAACCTTCCCAAAGATGCAGTTCCAAGGACGAGCAGACTTTATCCGGAGATTAAAAGGGGAAATGTGCTAAAAGGTGGACCATGCACATAAAGAACATGACAACTGGCGGGAAGCATTGGTATCCAGGCTGTGGGAGTTACTTGACATGTCACCACGTTACCCTGGTGTGCAGTGAGCTACTACGTAAGTTGAGGGCAAGCAAATTATTAAGATGGAGGAGAGAAAGTAGCCTTTCTTTAAAGAAGTTTCCCTTTAGGGACTAGGAAAAGGTTACAACTTCCAGAATCTTTTGGGAGCCACCTACCAAGGAATTGTTACTCTTGAAAAGGAGGAGCCAAGCACATGTCCATGAACTGGAAGAGTGGGTAGAGGTGTGGGGTGCAGGGCTCAGAAGGGAGAGCACTTATTTCATGGACATGGAGCCAGTCCCAGGGCTGCAAAGGGGACATCGCTTTCATTCTGAGCAGAAAATAAGGAAGAAATGCCTCTGTGAGGGGTGACTTTGTAGATTCTGAGGCAGAAAGTTGGGGAGTTGTCATGTGATTACTTCTATTGTTCTTTGTGATGGAGGATGGAAGTAGAGGGGAAGGGGCTGGGGGAGTCTTAAAAATATAGATCTTGATGTAGTATTGGTGAATTTCAGTACTAACGATATAATTAGATGAACTGTGCTTTCTTCCTGTTTGTTTGGATTTTTCTTTTAGTTCTCATACAGTAGCCATAAATAGAGTACACTGACAAATGCACCCCTCCCCATTCCACTGGGAAAGGACCCTTAAGTCACTTAAGGAGTGACCACTATGTTTACAACTACTGAGTCCAAAAATATTTGTGGCAAGTAGTATACCCTCAAATAAATTCCAAACACAATTGCAGAAGAAAGAAAAATGATTCTGTCCTAATAATTGTTTAATTGACACCAATATGTTCCATTCCCTGGATTTACCTACTGTTTATGTGTTACCAACGTCCCGTCTATACTTTAAAATTTATCTCGTAAGACCAGGACATTCTTCACAGCCACATATTTTTTTAAAAGTCAAATTTAGTTAGATTAGCTTCAATAAACACTGTCATCTAATATACATTATATTCTGTTTTCACTAGTTGGTTAAAATATTCCCTTTATAGTCTTCTTTACTGACTGGGGACCCACAGCCTCTCACATTTTGTGATTTATCTCTCAGCCTCCTTCAATCTGGGGCCTTCCTCAGCCTTTGTCTTTTATGGACTTGCCTTTTTTGTGGATTAGTGGCCAGGTGTTTTAGAGAATGGAAACATTTAAAATGATGAAACTGTTCAAGTTCAGACCATTGTTTCTAGGAGAAATCTAAAGCAATTCACCTTTCACCTCAATTAGTTTGAATTCCTATATTAGGTGATTAAAAAACCAACTCATTGTCCTTTCTGTTCACAGCACATTTGTAAAAATATACAATGTAATGATTGTGATCATTGTAAAACACACAATGTGTTAATAACACTTTCAGAGAGGTGTGTGAGTCTCTAAGGAACAGAAAGTTCACTCTGGATCAGGGTGCTTATCGATAAATGGCTTATTTTAATTTGAATAGAAAAGATTAGTCTGCTCTGTTGACTCTGAAAGAGAAACCAATTTCATAAGTGACTTAAGGAATCAAATAGAGATTTAGTACCACAGAGTCAACCAAAAAAGTCTCCATCAAAAACCAAACTAAGTGAGATTTGAGCTCAAAGAAAAAATACCCAAGCTTCTATTAATTCTCCCGACAGAAGCACACCGGCAATATCTCCTTTTCTTCCTGAAGTGCCAGTAAAGCCAAGTGACTTACCCTGTAGATCCCAAGATGTCTTGATTCAAGCACTTCTGTTCACATTCCTTAGAGAATCTGATAAATTCAAGATTCATGTGAAATGATTTGGGAGAGGTTGACCTCACAAGGAGAAAAACAATTTCAGTTCACACCACATTTGTAAAAATATACAATGTAAAAATACCTTAATGTCAGAAAGACATTAGGTAAAGTGATAGGAACTCCCCCAACTTACAAAGAAAAGACAGAGAAAAAAAGAGGAAATACTGATTACCCAGGTTTATATGTATTGAATTATCACATCATGTCCCCAAAACATATGCAATTAGTACTTATCAATTAGAAAAAAAGAGAGAAGGGAGGAGAGAGGATGAAGACCATATTGGCCAAGTGCAAACTCCACATGAGAACGAGCTCAAACAACATGGTATGAATCTTCCAGGAAAAGAGGGAAGGAGGCAAAAAAGTTTTAGACCCTGGAAAGTACTGCTGATGCATCTATACAAAAATAACTATGATTTGGTTTTTAGTCAGTTGTATAAATCACTCTACAAAAATGATATTCAAGTTGACAACACAATGTTAAAAATTAACAAATATAGAGTAAGAGAGAGTCAGACAGAAATGAATAAAGAAGAAAATTTAAAAGAGTAAAGGAAGAGGAAAGGTCCAGTGAAATATCCTGACTCAGAATTATGCCTAAGAAGAAAAACACAGAGGTAACAGATAAGGAAACAGATGGAGTGCACAGATGAAAATCCACAACAGAGAAGGCTCTAGCACACCATATCACAAAACATGTGCTGGGCGAAAACGGACGTGATTCCTAGAAGAAATAAAGAGAGTCACCTGTCTATTAAAAACTCTTTTTCCGAGTTAGTCCCTAAGCAGTGGTTCAAAGAGAGTTCCCACAAGGAGCACCAGGGACGCAGAGTAGCTTCAGAAATAAGAGCCATGGCAAGCCCATCAGCAGAGGCTGCAGGTTCCTTTAGGGTCATATTCACCTCTCCACCACTATGGGGTGCGATTTGTACCAAGCTGAGACACCTCTGTGCACTTTGTGTAGGGGCTTTTTGTCCTATTTTACAAATCCGTAATTACCTCCCTGCTAAGCGAGTGATGCCCCACCTGCTCTGAAAGCACACAGCATCTGTACAGAAAGCTGAATGCTGGGATTTGCCATTGCTTTTGAATGCAATCTCAGTAGACCACGACAGATGCCCCTTAAAAGTTTTCTGTGCTCTGATGGGACTAAAGGAGGGCTGAGGAGGCAGGGGCCACTTTTGTCTTGTAATAATATTTTATTTCCTTTCCTTTCAAAGCAGCCCCCATCTTGGATACAACCAACCATTCATTACATTCAGACACTGTACTGGCTGTCTTCCCCCCACCCTCCCACCAGCCCAAATAGGCATAAGAGCTCATCCCGGCTCCTCTTATGCCTTCATCTCCTCTTTTCCATTGTGCTGACCATGTTCTAATATTACATAGGATTCAGCACCTGATTTTGTATTCATTCCACTGTGTTCCTGGAATACAGTGTTAGCTCCTTGACAGCTGGAGTCTTTGTTTTCCGGTTTGTTTCATGCCTGTAAGAGTACCTGAAATGCAGCAGTGTTCAATGAACATTTGTTGGAGCCATGTATAAACACACTACTCCAGCACCAAGTTCATCTTCACCACCCAAGCAGTAGGTCATAAATGCCTTAATACTCCCTCTGAGCAAGTAGCACTCCAGGGTTTGAATAATGGGGGGAAATGTATCTGGATAACTAAGTCATGCTTGGCAAGGTCCAGCACAGCTCTGCATTTCTCCCTTCTCAGACTTCAATACCTGCTGCTCAGATTTTTACGGGGGAGGTCACTCAGAAGACACCAAAACCCAGTTTTGTCCAAATTGAAGAGTCTTTATTGTCCAACTAGTCAGTACTGCTCCCTAAAGGGCCACACTGTCTCTGCAGGAAACAGCATCAACATTTTAGGAAACCAGAAAAACCACATCCAGGTTGGCATAGCAACTAATAAGCAAGCAAGCTGAATAAAGCCATTAGCAAAAAATTGCAATGTCCTTAATCATCTTTTCATTCTGATTCAGTATTTCTCATGGGATTTTTCCATAATCATAATCAAAAGAGAAATGGATCAAAATGACCCTAGTTGAGTACCAGTTAAAGAATGGCTACTAATGATTTTCCAACAAGGTACACTGCCCAAGGAAAAGGGGAACCAAAGAGAATGATTTTACATTGTATAAGAATTGCTATTTTGTGTTGCTAAGTATGGTATGCTAGGCAATTAGTAATGGGTACAGAGGCGGGGCTTTCCCATGGGAGAAGCATTATCTTACATGATATGGGGTCTCAGGGTAAAGTGGAGTCTGTTTGGTCATTGCCCATATAGCCTGGCCCATAACAAGATTTTGCAGACATCTTAACTGTTCTCACCTATCACATATTCATTTAACTAGAGGCATTTCTGCATATATCTGTGAAAGCTGTGGAATTAAGATGAACTTTTAGTAATATAAACAATTCACAAATCTCTTCCTCTTCTCCTTAAGTAATCTCAACTTTCAATTCAAATACTGTCCCTGTAATTGCAGATGAGTCAAGAATCACCTCTCAGCAAACAAATGAGAGGATGGCATTCCCAAACTGCACTTCCAGGTTCCCACCTCGGCTCTGACACGTGCGGCCTCTAGGGCCTCGTCAGCCTGTCCAGGCACAGGGGCTCCATCATTGTCTCCTTTTTTTGCGGACAGGCAGAATATCACTAAAAGGAAATGCCTGTACCTCGGGCTGGGAGTCAGCATTTGGGTGAAAGCTGCCCCCTTGGTGGAACAGCATCCTGACTCTGCAGACAGGAAAGGCCCTCCTCCACCCCGGCTCCAGGGTAGCCCAGTGGCCCCTTCCCTGAGGTGAGTCTTCCCCGAGGAACCAGTGGAAGAGCTACACTTTAGTCCACTCGGGAGCACGAAGTCTCCCCCAGGTGGCGGTCCGGGAACAGTTCTCTCACCGCTGAAGGTAACAACATGACTTAAAGCTTTCCTCTTAGCATATTTCCACAAAAACACGGATGGACTACGAATGGACTCCGAGTCACATTTGATGTGGCATGCCCATTTGGGGAACGTCAGAAAGATTTTGCCTCCCGGCATTTCTGGGATCCTGGCTGGAAGCACTGGGTGCTTTCGGGGTGTGGGCCCTTTAATAGCAGCGAGGCCCCGCCCCGCCCGGCGTCCCTGGGGACGCTAACTTTCTGGAGACTACATTACCCAGGAGACGCTGCGGCGCCGGTGCTGTTAAAGTCACTTCCGTGCGTGCGTGCGTGCGTGCGTGGGATGGGTGGGCGGGACATCCGGCATCTTCCTCGCGGACATCTTGCGGGGCGCCCAGCGGGACCGTGGGAGGCGGGGCTCTGCAGCGCCAGGCCGGTTCCGCGCTGACGGACGCCGGAGAGTAGGAGGGGACACTGTCCCCCCCGCACAGTGGGTGGGCTCTACGCTCCCCTCACCACGGCTCGCGGGCGGAGCGCCGGGCCGGAGTGCGGCCGAGCGTGGGGCGAGGAGCCGCGGGCGCGAACCCACGGGTGAGCAGGCGGACGGTGGCTGGTCGGGCGTTGCGGGTTTGCTGTGCCCTCGGAGCCGAGCCGGTCCCCCGCGCCCTTGTAGCGCATCCGGGGGCGACGCGGCCCAGGCGGGCGCGGGATGTCGGGCTGGAGGGTGGAGCCGCCGGCCCGGGGGCGAGGCTGCCGCCGCGGGGATCCGACCTGGGGAGGGCGGTGAGGACGCAGGTGCCGCGGCGGCCTCGCCGGGGCCTGCGCTGTAGGCAGCGCCCTTCTCCCCGAGCCCCTCGCCTGGGTTCTCTGGTGCCACTTCCCAGCGGGGAGCGGGGTTCTGGGCTCCCGGCTCCCTAACTCCTCTGCAGCTGCTCCAGGGGGACCTGGGGGTCAGGCGGTCAGCCCCGTGCATCCCACCAGTCCTTGGCGTCTCTTGTCTTGACACCTCTGGGCTCCAGCTTCTGCCACCTTTGTCTAGTTGACCTTTCGTTGGGTCCACCTGTGCCATGTCGCTATTTGTGGACCCCACTGGTAGTACCAGCAAGACATTTTTATTTTGTTATGTTCGTTTCTTTGGTGGGCTACTCAGAGCCAGTGCTTTGAGTTCCCTGTCCCATCTTCCCCCGGTGACTTGTATCTTCCAGATCCTTTGAGGTTGCGGACTGTAATGAGAAAGAGAACCCTGGGTTCCTCAGAGGTTCAGACGCTCCCACAGCAGGAGAGGCTTGGACGGACACTGGTGGTTCCCTGGTGGGGAAGTCACGACTTCCGTGCTGTGTTCTGTTGGTACCAGGAATTTGCCATGATTTGATTCCAAAGCCAGAGGCCATGCCTCATTTCAGTCTTTGCCTCCCTGTTCTGGACACTTGTCATTTCTTATTTCAGACCCAGGGCTGTTTCTACCTCTCTCTCTGCAGTACTTTCCAACATACATGAACGCATGACATGTGCAGATACCCTTCAGTAGTCCTTGCACCCCCATCCTTTGTTTTTAATAGATTTCCTGGGCAGAGACATGCATTTCTGCATAGTGTTTATCTGTCACCAACAGCCAGCCAAGGCCTTGCTGAAAGCCATTTGCAGAGGATGAGGTTGTAGCCTGCTAACCTTTTCTGCCTGTGCTACATCGTCGTGTCTTTGTCCCTTGTGAGGCCTTCTCCATTCTGTAAACTTAGGTCCCTATACAGCAGACTTTCAAATCTGAGCCCCATCCAGCCAATAGTCCCATAGACTTAACCCTGAGTGTACTGGACTCACAGTTGTGATGGATTGCCCCTCTACCAAAGTCATCTTGTGTGTCAGCAGTATTTTTCTGCTTTCAGGGTGTTGGTGCAGAGTGAAGGATGGAAGCAGAGCATTTCTGTAGGAGTATTGCGTGGTAGCACTGATACGTCTACTAGGTGAGTCCACGCAAGCAGCTCATCCTTGTGATTTATGTGGCACCATCTTGAAACATATTTTATTCCTGGAAGGAACACACTGTGGACTTCAGACTTACACATGAGGGGTATATGGGAGACAGTTGTCGTTCATTACAGACTTTAACTGGAACTTAAAGCCTTACAGTGTAGAGAAACCTTCACAAAGAGATGAAGGCAAGACTTCATTGGTGAAGAACTGCAGAGTTTGTGAAGAGCTCACTTATTAGAAAACCCCCTTAAAGGTGAGGTGGAGCAGAAGAACTTCCAGGCTAGCTTGGGCCATTGCCAACAAAAGATCACCCATAACAAGAGGAAGACAGTCCAGAGAACTGCAAGCAGGGAGATCCTGCATGTTGGACAAATGCATTACAAGTGCAGTGAATGTGGGAAAGCTTTCAGTCGCAAAGATACACTTGTCCAGCACCAGAGGATCCATAGTGGGGAAAAGCCTTATGAGTGCAACGAGTGTGGGAAAGCCTTTAGTCGAAAAGCTACACTGGTCCAGCACCAGAGGATCCACACTGGAGAAAAACCGTATGAGTGCAGTGAATGTGGAAAAGCCTTTAGTCGAAAAGACAATCTTACTCAGCACAAGAGAATCCACACAGGAGAAATGCCTTATAAGTGTGGTGAATGTGGAAAATATTTTAGCCATCACTCTAACCTAATTGTACACCAGAGAGTGCACAACGGAGCAAGGCCTTACAAGTGCAATGATTGTGGGAAAGTCTTCAGACACAAATCCACACTTGTTCAGCATGAAAGCATCCATACAGGGGAAAATCCTTATGATTGCAGTGATTGTGGGAAATCCTTTGGCCACAAATACACTCTTATTAAACATCAGCGAATTCACACTGAGACTAAGCCTTTTGAGTGCACTGAATGTGGCAAGTTCTTTAGTCGAAGCTCTGACTTTATTGCACACCAGAGGGTTCACACAGGGGAAAGGCCTTTTGTGTGCAGTAAATGTGGGAAAGACTTCATCAGGACCTCCCACCTAGTTCGGCATCAGAAAGTGCACACGGGAGAAAGGCCCTACGAGTGCAGTGAGTGTGGGAAGGCCTACAGCTTAAGCTCCCACCTCATTCGGCACCAGAAAATACATGCTGCAGGCAGGCTTTAGCTGAGCTGTTCACACAGCAGGATTTGTCAGTGAGATGTCAGGCCTCACATGAACATTCACACAGAGACACACCTTGTTTGCCAGGTATTCAGCGGCTTTCCAGGTCTGTGTTGCACTTCCTCACCACCTCAAGTTTCTGCCAGAACTCATGCCTGAACTCATCTTAACTGCTCCAGCTTAGTTACCCAACATCTTCAGGGACAGTAGCACTTGTACTCTCTCCAATGCCCAGGGTGAGCCGTGGGACATCTGAGTTCAGAGGGTCCTCGTTCCCTTTTGTGTGTCTAGAGGATGTGAATGTGACCCATCTCTGATGGCTTTCAGATGTTTTCTTTCATGATGGACATTGTTGATCTTACATAAAATCTGGCCTTGAACTCATGGGCTCAAATGATTCTGAGGCCTCAGCCCTCAAGTGGTTGGGATCACAAGCACATGTCACTGTGCCCAGCTTTTACTTGAAATTTCAATGGATGTTTTCAGCCTCCCGAGTCACCTAGCCTGGAAAAGTACTTCCTCATGTTGCTCTGATTTGTAATAATAAAGGCCTTATAATTTAAGCCACCTTTAACCTTGGGGGTCTTTTCATTTTCTAGAATGGATCGAGAACAGAATTAGGCCCTGCCTGTGTGGGGACCTCCAGCTTTCTGTGGGACAAGGTGTGGGTGGAGAAGTTCTCCGTTCAGCTTTGATGTTAATTCTTCCCAATTCATGTTTTTCCATGGGATGAACTTCTAAATATGGGTTTGTAACAAAGGGACACTTGCAGATTGGGATAGTTTTATTCTCTGGTGTCCAGTTTCTCTCTGTAGGGAAAAGACCCTTACTTGTTTTGTTCCTGAATCAGTTCAATCCTTTTGGTCTTTATTTCCTCCTCTTTAGTGGTTCTTGGGTAATTCTTCCACATTCCACTGATGGCTGATGTCCTTCATGTGTCATTTACATTGAAGTTAGTCCTGTGTCCTTTACTCCCTGAAGCACTTCAGGTCTTCCAAACAGCCATTGCCACCCAGGATACCTGTACATAACTTTTTTTTTTTTTTTTTAAGAAATTTTTTTTTTTTTAAAGAGAGAGTGGGAGAGAGAGAGAATTTTTAATATTTATTTTTTAGTTCTTGGCGGACACAACATCTTTGTTGGTATGTGGTGCTGAGGATCGAACCCGGGCCTCACGCATGCAAGGCAAGCGCGCTACCGCTTGAGCCACATCCCCAGCCCACCTGTACATAACTTATGCAGGTGCCACATGTGGACTTGGATAGGAGAACAGGAGCATCAGTAAGTTAGAAAAACACTGGACGTAGCAGCCCAGCCATGAGCTTGGATGAACAAGGACGTGCGGAAGAGAAGGGGAAGCCCAAGAGCCACCTCTGCCTGAGCAGTGGCAAGGGCTTGAGTGGGCTCCTCTGCCAGGGTCAGAAGTGGGTGAGGGACAGGAGGGGACAAGCAGGAGTGGCAGCAGGAGTCTGCCTACAGTGTTCCGACTGTCCAGTGCAACACCCTGCCACCTGACCTTTACCTGACTGGGTACTTCCTGACAGAGCCCCATGTACATTGCATGGAGACCCTGCCGCCCCAGGCCACCCACCCTCTTGAGTTCCATACTTAGAAGGCCCCATGTACCTCCCACATGCTGCTCCCTGCCTAGGTGACTCGTTCCCAGGTGCCCTTCCCCATTCTGGCCTCTGTGCCCATCTAATGCTGCCTGCCCTGTGTTCTGTAGAATCAGGGTAGATGGCGCGTGTTACTAAGAAATACCTGGGGCTGGCCCACACCAGCTGCCCAGGATCACTACAAACTGGTCTGGAGAAGTGGCTCCGGGGCAGAGATGGACAGCCGATGCCAGGCAGCCAGAGCAGGAGAGAGCCGCACTGGGCCCCTTGACCTGGGGAGACCTCTAGGAGGCCTGTCTCTGCCCATGGCTCCAAGGCCATCCCTGTGCGACAGTAAATGAACCTCAGGTTGCCTGGTTATAGCAGCTAAAGTGATAGTGATGTCACAATGCTCGCTCCCGCTAAGAATTTGAACCTGGCAGGGTCCAGGCCTAGAGAACTGGCCAGGTTTTGGGCCAGAACCTGGAGCCCTGGTGGAGGTCCACACACGAGAGGCCCCGGTAGCTGAGCGAAAGAAGCAGGGATGTTGGTCTGAGGAAGGACAGGTGCAGGCCATCTTTGAAGTGAGCCTCGCATTCCTGGTGGCAGGACTGGGGCTGCGGGATAGCTCTGCGGGGCAGCGAGGGACTCCCCAGACAGGAGCGCCTGGACAGCAGGGCCAGCCAGGTGCGGGAGCAGGTGGCCAAGCCTTGCGGGGCGGCAAAGCGCATGCTCCTGCCGGCCCTTCCCCCCCAGGAGCCCTGGCAGAGCCCACCGCTGCCACTTGCCCTGTCCTGCCACCTGCCCTGTCCTGTGGAGCCGGGCCCCACGGCTCCTCTTGGGAGGCACCGCTTCAGTAAGGTTTTCAATTCATGCCGAATTTCCTTCCTTTTGATGCTCTGCTTCCTAGTGCTGGTGCTGTGTGGCTGACTTCTCCCTGCGTTTTCCTTTTGTATGTCGCATGTCAGTCCCCTTCGTGGTACGTTCTCTTAGAACACATGCGTCATGACTGTGGTGCTGGGGATGGAACCCAGATCCTGGTGAACGCCAGACAAGCACTCTACCACTGAGCTACGTCCCCAGCCCTAAAACAGCTGCTTTTCTGATGGCATTTCCGAAATCACTTTTCCTATAAATACAGGAAAACGAGCCAGGTGACAGTGCTGTGCCATGCATTAGCCTCAAGTTTACTGTGGCTGCTTACATTCAATGTAATGAACAATGCTTCATTTGAACTGAACACTTCCAGGTAACGATAAAATTATAAATAATGTATGTAGATTAATAGTAAAACAAAACTAATTTATTTACCAGCTCCTGCCCGAAGAAGGACGTGTTTTATGATTTTGTGTGATCCCCATCTACCCATTTCTGTTCCCTAGATATCCTGCTCTTCTTATTTTTTATGATCAATTTCTTGCCTTTCTTTTTTTTCCCTCAATACTGATGACTGAACCCAGGGGTGCTCTACACTGAGCCAAATCCCCAACCCTTTTATTTTTTATTTTGAGACAAGGCCTCACTAAATTGCTGAGGCTGGTCTTGAACTTGCAATCCTCCTGCCTGGGCCTCCCAAGTCACTGGGGTTATAGGTGTGGCCATAGCGCCTGGTTCTTTCTGTTCTTTAGATGATTATATTAAAATCACCAAAACTAAGCCCACAGCTGGCGCACATCTCTAATCCCTGTGACTCAGGAGGCTGAGGCAAGAGGATCGTAAGTTCAAAGTCAGCCTTAACAATGGTGAGGCGCTACAGTGAGACTCTGTCTGTAAATAATATAAAAAATTGGACTGGGGATGTGGCTCAGTGGTTGAGTGCCCTAAGTTCAAACCCTGGTACAAAAAAAAAAAATATCACTAAAACTAGATTGAATTGTTGTGTATACAACACACATAAGTGGGTACTTTATATTTTCTGAATCTTGGTTTTATTAATATCAAACTTGTGAGATCTTGGACAAATCCATTGATGATGTTCTGGGGACAACAGAAGATGAATGGAAGCACACAGAGCAGTCTATCTAGGCACTGAAGCTACTTGTGTTTTGGTTTGATTTTTTTTTTCTAAGTTCAACTTTCGGAAGTGTATCTCTGAGATTAGTTGGAAGTATAAACAAGCTAGAAGTGAAAATTGTCCTGTTGACAGCATTTAAAATCATGAACTCAGAAGCAGCACACAGTGTGGCTCCATGAGACGGGTGTGTGGAGCATGCTGTTCATAATGTGATTTCAGTGGAAAAGTGGGGTGCAGTGCCATGTGAGTGTTTGCACATGTGGAGTAAAGACTAATAAGGGGGGAATCAGTTAAACTGGGGCAATTTTAGCTGGATACATTCTTTTAGAAATTGCGTTGTGTATTTAATCATACTGTGTATATAAAATTTATCATAATGAAAACAGAAGTGCCTTTGATACTAAACTGCTATTTAGGAAAAAAAGATCAATATTCCCCATTTTCACTCCATCTACATGGGTTTTCCATAGGACAATGACTTTTCTCCCACAAAGGCTTTGGCATCGTTAATGGAAATTCTGCCGTGAGAAGCCTGAGTTCAGAGGGCAGCCAGCTGCCTGACCGAGGTGCCCGCCCTGGAAGTGAGCACCTTTCTCTTCCACCTTGGGGGCGGTGTGTCCACGGTTCTCTGGTCTCCATTGGGGTTTGTTCTAATCAGGTAAGTCTGTAGACACAGAAATAGCTGTGAGGAAGTTCTGCGTGCACAGATCCCAAGAAGAAAGCCCAGGCAGCCTGGGCGAGGAAGGCACTGGAGCAGAGGTAGCAGGGGACAGCCTTCCTGGGTGGGAAGGAGCGCAGCAGGCAAGGCAGGGGAGCAGCCAGGTTGGCCGCAGGCTTGGGATTCGCTGTTTTGAACCTTCTCCATGGACTCCAGGCTTAGGGACTGTCCCAGCTGAGCAGGGGTGGTGAGATGATGGCCTGACACCAAGAGTCTTGAGAATCCCTGGCCTAGATAGAGATTTCCCCACGTGAGTCAGAACAGGGACAAGAACTTGTCAGGGAGACCAACGGTGCTTGACAGTAGCATTGTCGTGGCTCCCCAGCCGGAAGCAGCCGGAGAGCTCAACAGCAGGAAGCTGACAAGTTGCCATAGGATCCTCAACAGCTATGGAAACAGGCGAGATGTGCAACAGCCAGTGAGTCTCCGGCATTTACTGTGCCCCCGACTAAGCAGAGCCCACAAGACAGTGTCCCGATTCCATCACACAGGAAGTGTTCGGCCAGGGACCCGGATTCTAGCTACGCACTGGGACTTACACACCATAAAGAAAGCTACAGGAAAACCCGGTAAATGCTGTGTTAAAAAGAGAATCGTGGGGTCTCTCCTGTGCCTCTGGAGGCCACTTGAGATGCAGACAGTGCCGAACAACCTCTCTCTGGCCACCAGGTGAAAATTTAAGAAAAAAATTGCGTCCTTTATTTTCCAGTATTGAGTATTGATTTTCCAATATTTGAGTACTTGAGTCCAACAGCTGCCAGAGTCTGTGGGACGCTTGCTGCTGTGGCAGACAGGGTCCGGGGGTCATAAACCCACCTGGCTTTGCCTTCATTTCAAGGCACAAGAGTCAGCACACTCTCAGGTAATTTGGTGTTGGTATCATAGAATTCAGTGTTGTGGGAGGCCAACCTTACAGGTGACTGAGTTACACTCCCCAGCTAGGTGCTGAGGCGCTCAGTCACAGAAATGGGTGTGTCTTGCTACAGC